ACCCCTAGGTGAAAATGTCCAAATTGGGCCCAAACTGTCTTTGTGGCCAACATTATTTTCCAGCACTGCCTTAACCCTCTGACAACATCACAGAGCTTGTGGATGTTAGGGACCTTCCTCCCTAGTGCTGGCAGCACTCATGCAGCCCCAGACTATGACACTCCCACCACCATGCTTGACTGTAGGCAAGAAACACTTGTCTTTGTACTCCTCACCTGGTTGCCAGCACACACACTTGACACCATCTGAACCCAATAAGTTTATCTTGGTCTCATCAGACCACAGGACATTAACCAGTAATCCAAGTTTTTGGGACGACAGCCATGCAGACCAGTTTGATGCAGTGTGTGGCGTATGGTCTGAGTACTGACAGGCTGACCCCCCACCCCTTCAACCTCAGCAGCAATGCTGACAGCACTCATGAGTCTATTCCCCAAAGACAACCTCTGGATATGACGCTGAGCACGTGAACTCAGCTTCTTTGGTCGACCACTGCGAGGCCTGTTCTGAGTGGAAGCTGTACTGTTGAACTTGGCCACCTTGCTGCAACTCAGTTTCAGGGTTTTGGCAATCTTATAGCCTAGGCCATCTTTAAAAAGAGTAACCATTCTTTTTTTTTAAATCCTCAGAGAGTTCTTTGCCATGAGGTGCCATGTTGAACTTCCAGTGACCAGTATGAGGGAGTGTGAGAGCGATAACACCAAATTTAACACACCTGCTCTCCATTCACACCTGAGACCTTGTAACACTAACAATTCACAAGACACCAGGGAGGGAAAGTGGCTAATTGGGCCCAATTTGGACATTTTCACTAAGGGGTGTATTCACCTTTGTTGCCAGCGGTTTAGACATTAATGGCTGTGTGATGTGTTATTTTGAGGGAACAGCAAATTTACAGTTATATACGCTGTACACTCACCACTTTACATTGTAGCAAAGTGTCATTTCTTCAGTGTTAACACAAGAAAAGATCAAATATCTCATATAATGTCTCATAATCAAATACTTTTTGTAAATACACAAAAATGTGAGGGGTGTACTCACTTTTGAGATACTGTATATAAAAACCAACTTTTGATTCACATTCAATACCCTGCTGCCCACTAGCCATATCTTACACAAAGCACACAACATAATCCAAAATGAAAAGGAATCTGCAAGCATGGGGTTTTCTCCCAAATTAATATCCCACATAGAAATCTATGGTGTAAAAAGCTATTTTTAGCACCTAGGTAGGTTTAATAAGTGTCCAGGAGCTGTTCCAAGTGTTCCCCTGACCATATAAATCTATTTTCCAACAACCAACATAGTCAGAATCAGTGCCTCGACACTCCAGGGCTTTAATTGTGTGGTCAAGCTTAAAGCCTCATGAGTTTACAATTTGCCTTGTTTCTCCAACAGAAACAGTGATTCGGCTCTCATTTCCACCCCATAAAAAATGTGTTATTGCTGGTGAAACATTTTCCAGTAAATCATAGAGTGTGACTCTTTGCAAAGCTATAACTTTAACCAAATGAGGAAATGGGAAATTTTGTAATGACACCATTCAGGTCAGCATCCCCACCCCCCCACCCCCCAACACACACACACACAAAAAAAAGGACTAGAATGGGGAATAAACCATCACTTAAAAAACTGCAGCTTCTTTATTTATTGTGTTCTTCTTTAGGCTGCGGTGTTTTAGTGTCTCATCCTTACAGTAAATCTTTGCTGAGACGGGATGTGTCGAGACACTCCTACACAAAGGCTCGGCGTGAGATGCAGTCTGGGATTCTTGCCAGTTTCACACTGTGGTTCACCTTGGTGAGGTTTCTGTCAGCTATTCACGCTTGAGCTTGCAGCTCAGTCATGGTGAGAACTGCATCACTGTGGTGTTACATCTGTTATATTCCTGAAACAGGATGGCAAGCTATGTTCCCAGTTGAAAACATCAGAGAGAAAAAAGCTCTTGGCAGAGGAAAGGTAAAGGCAATTAAGTGGCTGCATCCCTCTTACATAAAAATGTAACTGGAGAAAAGTTCTCACATACCATAATTTCCCTAAACTGAATGGAGACCATACTATCAAAGATTTTCATGTTTTGTCCAAATCAGCTTAAACCAACTGCTTATTTAAACTCTCAACATGATGCCTAATTTTGCATCAGGACTGTGGCTTTTCCTGCAGTATCTAGTCTTCATGCTTCAGCAGCAGAGATAGTGCCTGATTTTATGCCTGTCAAGTAATTTTGTCATGCAAATGAGATGGTTTGGGCATGAAATTCAAAAAATGGCAAATTCCAGGGACAGCTGTTGGGCAGAACTTGAATCTAAACAAGCACAAAGAACTTTTTGTTTTTCAATTTCTCTGGAACAAACTGTTTCATGCTTTTAAAAAAAAAAGTTGAATAGCATTTATTTCATTGTAATACTTAATATATAATCCAAAAAGAAATGAAACCACCTTTATCACCAGCAGGTTGTTAGGAAAAGTATGTGATAGCTCCTTTGGCAGCCTTTCAGTCAAAAGGAATTGAGGCTTTCAGCAGCGATAAGCCCACATAAAGATGGAGCTCATGCATGAAAATCTCACTCTCAGCAAAGTCATTCATGACACGCCACCTCAGGCCCTCCAGATGGAGAGGGACACAGGGATACAGTGACTCTCACATGCAAAACCTCATGACCCCCACGCTCATGTCTTCACGCATACCCAAAACTGTGGGAGCCCGGGCTGTTCCCAACTGTTTACATAAGTTCTTGTGTAGTGTGAGATACCCAATTCTTGTCATATTCCCAACACTTAAAGGAATAATTCGACATTTTGTGGTTGACAGTTTGACAAGAACATCAATACGACTGTTTTAGCCAGTTAGCCTAGCTTAGCAGAAAGACTGGAAACAGAGGAAAACAGCCAGCACCTCTAAAGCCAACTAATTACACAACATTTTATCTGGTCTGTTTAATCTGTACAAAAACTTCAAACATAACCCCCAGTAAAATAGCAAATTGACGTTTTTACATTTTTTGTACGAATTAAGCAAACCAAAGATGGCTGTAATGGTGCTTAAGGGGTGCTAGTAGGTGGATTCACTGTTTACAGTCTATGCGCTAAGCTAAGCTAACCGGCTGCTGGTTGTAGCTTCACAATTAACAGACAGTAATGAGAGTGGTCAATTATCTTATTATCGATCAATCTTCTTATCAAAGTCTGCCGAAAATCAGCATAAATGTCAAAAAAAAAAAAACATAAAAAACATGTCAAAACATTCTTTTCTGCTGCTGCTATTACAATTTTTCTGGATTGCTGACACACATTTCTTGAAAGTATGCATCTTTTTCTCTAAACTCTAAACACAAATCCAAAACTTCTCACCCAATTCCCCAAACATCCTATTTTCAGGTCAAAATGAAGTTCTCCACTCAAAACCATTCAATCTTGCTGAAAAACCAAGCTTTGCTCTCAGACATAACACACAAGCCCTCAAAAACACACACACTACAACAGTCTTACACACCGGTGAGATAAATTTAAAACAATACTACAAAAACTGGTTTTAAGTAATGTTGCTTGTGGTTCTCCCCCTCAAAAACATTTTCACATGATGAACACAACAAAAGAAACAACAAATACATGTATACATTTGCTTTTTTTATTCCTTAGTGTACTATACAGCACAACACACCAAACAACTAATTATTCTGTCCCAGCGTCTTTTCTTTGGTCGGGGACGACAGGCCAGAAAATCTTGTCCTCCACCTCCTCCTGCTCCCTATTCCTCCTCCACCCTCCTCCTGCTTCGCCTCCTCATCTTCCTCCTATCCCATCTCACCTCCAACTCCTACTGTTCCTCTTCCTTCACTTCTTACTACTGCGTTTCCTCTTCCTCCTCTCTGGTGTCCTGCACCTCTTCCTTCAGATTTCTCTGGATCCATTGTTCCACAACTGAACTGACTCTGGCCCTTTTATATATCTACTGAGGCTTCTGATTGGTGTGTTTCACCATCAATTATGACTGTTTGAGTTTCCACCTGGGTAGTTGTGTGCTAACTGAGCTCAACCTATGCTGACTTCTGAATGTTAGTGTTTTCTCAATGACCACATGGTGTAGGCAATGACAAATGGAGAGATTTGTGTGTAGAGTTTAGAGAAATGGGTGTTCTTTTTGAAAAATGGAGTTATCTTTTTGAAATTTTTGTTCAAAAGCCTGGTTATAGTGTTGAAGCAATTGAGAACTCCCTGCTTATCCTGTGTTTGAGTGACAAGTCTTACCACAAGAAAGAGGCAATTGATGAGATTTTGTTGTGATGGTGGCAAACTGAAGGCTGAAAGAGCAAGACATCCAACTTCTTGATAGACTGTTCATTTCCAGTACATTTGTGAAAACGTAGTAGCAATAACAATGATCCATTTTAAGATTCCATATTTCCCCAAACCAGTTTTAAGGTATGTTCCAGTCAATTATAAGCTTAGTAACACAAGATCAAGTTGACATAGCAGTTGTTTCCTTAACAGGCGGCAATGTGCCTCACTGTTCAGGGGACACTGCAAACTGATACAATGCAAAAGTATTGTGTTGGTGCAAAAAGCTAATCAGATGTTGTATGTTGTAATAATAATGTAATAATAATGTTGTAACTTCCTGAGCAGTAGTAGTCACCAATATTAACCATGTCATTTCAGTGGTAATCTGCTCTATTGGTACCGCTGTTGGGGAAAACTAATTAAATTTGATGTATTTAAGAGCTTTAAGGTTGGGCTTTTGTACAGATTGTATTATAGTATATCTGGGCCACAAGGAGGGGCAACCCTGAAACTCCTTTGCTGTGCTTTGGGACTATACTTGACTCAGATTTCATATGCTCACATTTCAGATGCAAACCCCTTCAACCCAAAAATAAATTAGGAAAGACTACCTCGACGTGATGTATCCCATCATCATTATCCCATCATTGCCGACATAACAGAAGGCTCACAGTAAGATCCACATAATCATGTCAATTGGTACACAGAGATGCAGATAAGTTACAATTCAATGTTTATCCATGAAACTAAACCATGCATTTGTTTCAAACAAACAATGCCATCTCAGATGCTTACTTTCAGGCTGGACCTCAACATTTACAACATAATAAGGGCAAAGCTCCAACCAATTGCCAAATACATCCTTACTTATAAGAAGCAACCTTCTGCAAAATACTTGAAACCATTATGAGTTTACCAACTAGTGCAATTTGACAAGCATTATAAAGAAAAAATCATTTTCAGCATATTCTACAAAAAAGCAATATTTGCTAATTGATACTAGAACACGCTAACTCAAATATACATTGGGTACAGTATAGTGTACTATTTGTATCAATATTAAGACATCTTTTTAAAATCAGAAAACATTTAGATTAAGATCCAAGACATGGGACAAAAGAAATCTTGACTGTCACTGAAAGCATCATACAGGGGTCTGTATGCAGTAAAAATGTATTTAAAATATTGAATCTGTACTTGTAGATAGAAACCACGACATCCCCAGCAAAATGAAAGTATATGGAAATATTTAGGGTAACTGGTAACAATAAAACTGATAAGTGGACAGAAATACAGTAAGTTTGCTTTACTTTAGTTAAAAAAATGATTCTGTTTCAAGTCATGATGGTGCTAAAGGTCTAAAATCTGCTGCGGTTTTGGGAACACTATATACAGAATGTACCTACAGCATTCAAATTCTTCTTTCTAAATAATATACATTACCTAAATCTCTCTCTGTAAATTATAGGGACTGTAAAACAGGGTTCACTAGCAGAGCGAGAAACGACGAGAGTTAATGTTCATCTTGGTGACGCCGATGAGTCTCAGCGGGGCCGAGAGGCCGAGCCCCGGGGTGACCGGACATTCGCACAGCAGATCCGCCAGCTCATCCCGCTCCTCAAGGCCAAAGGTGGCGTCATTGAGCATCCGGCGATGCAGGTGGCACGTCTGCTCTATCTTCAGCTTGTGAATGTCGTTCCGGAGCCTCATGAGCTGCCTTGCCAGCTGCTGGTCTTGCAAGCGCATGTCTGTCTGGTGAAAAAAGACAGAAAGCAGTGGTACTCAAATAACCTGCTGATTAACTGATAAATCAGCTAGATTTTTTCACGGATGGAGTTGCTTAGCTGTGGTTTTACAGGGGTGTTAACTTGTGAGTTTTATATGTGCTTGTTGGCAGACTTTGTTATCTTCGGACACAGCCAGGCTAGCTGTAGCCCCCTGATTCTGACTCACAGTGTCAGGAACAATTCCTGTGCAATAACCCAGTAACTCTGTCTCTAATCAGTCACCTGTTTACTGGTTTCCACTTATTATTTATTTATTCACCATTCTCTATTTCAGTGCTGTTCATACTATGTTATATTGTATATACTGCATACCAATACACCTACCTCAGGTCATAAGTCATAGGTCTTATTTATTTTTTCCAGCATCCTTTGCACTATGTTGAATCACACTGTGCACATGTATGCATGTATGTGTACCTTTATATCATATCCACCTTCAACATGTACATAATGAGAATAATAGTTTACTCTTGCATCTTTTGCACTCTGATCACTGCACTATTTGTCAATATGTCTATATTGTTTTGTTCATAGTGTGTATGTTAGTGTTGTCTATACTGTAGTTTGTGTCTGATTTTATTTTATTATTGTGTTATGGTATGTTTGTACGAGTAAGCACATTGTGAGCAATGTACAATCCTGAGTTGAATTCCTTGTATGTGTACACATACCTGGCAATAAAGCGGATTCTGATTCTGATTCTGATTCCAATTATTATGCTAAGCTAAGCTAATTGTTTCCTGGCTGTCGCTCACACAGTTCGCACTTAGTTCACATGATCTAGATTCCCTGTCAGTCCATGGGTTTTCTTATTGTGCAACACAATCTAAAAAGAAAAATCACAGTGGGCCATCAACAAACAAGTGGCTCATCATAAGCTCTCTTAATTTTATCTCTCTCTTGTCCACTGTCTTTGTGCAAAATGTTTAATGAGCACGATTCTGCCTCTGACAGTGCCTCTTTGCGTGCTAAGTCCAAGCTTTTGAACAGTGGCTGAAGGTGCAGAGTAATTGAGTAGAGTAAAAGTGATTAGACGTACAGAAACTGTGTGTAACAAACATCCGATGCCATTGCCTGAGTCCCAATAAATCACACTCACTAATGTGAATGGCATTCCTCTGGCATTTGATTGGGCATTGGTATCCATTGTTAAATTCTAACTAGCTACGTAGCAGGAACTTATTTTCTATTCTGGCCTTTATAAATCTCTTCAAATTAAAAGCATGTGAATGAAAGTGTGTATTTGAATCTCAAGTACCTAGAAAGATAAGTGCCTGGTCAAGATCTTTGAAATAGGCTCACCCACTGGCTGCAAATACTAAACAACATTAAATATTTTAGAGATGCCAGATTCATAACACAATGCTCAATATTCTAAACATAGATGATACATTTGTTCATTGTAAAGAATTTACCAGTCTCACCAGTTCTCTCCTCAGCCAACTGAGAGCTTCATCGATGTTCCCAAATCCCTTCAGGACACCTGATGGCAACTTGCACTGAATCACATCAGAGTTCACTGCAGTCTCTTTGCAAGTGACTACTTTCCCTTCAGGCTCATCCTGGATCGGGCCTTTTCCAGTTCCTGACTCTCTGGAGCTGTCTGCCTCGAGTCGGGCTTTCCACTCAAGGTAAGAAGGTCTCCTGGTCTCCAGTCTTAATTTCTCCGTCAAGGCCTTTAAGTTCATGAGATGGTCATCCGTAGGCAAATCCACATCTTCCCCACGTCCTGCTTCCTCCTGGACACAAGCCCTGTCCACCATAATCTGAGGAGCTGAGGGCGCATCCATTTTTTAATCTGCTGAACACAAAAATCTCTTTCTCAAAATAATAATGGATAAAGACGATCTGTTTTTCATTGGTGGCCTCTTTTGTTGTTACAAATGACCATAGTTGTAGGTTTTTGTCATCCAGTCTTCAAAACATCCTTAAAACCTCCATTGGTGTTTTGGAGTAACTTGAGAACTGCAGAGGAGAGAGGAAGCAAGTTATGAAACATTTGCTGGTTATGCTACTGGCAACCATCTCCGAATGACAAGAGACAAAGCTAACGTGACATGTGACAAAAAGGCTAGACCTCAACTTTGGCATGACAGGCTCATTTGTATGACCAGATAGATCATATCTCAGAGAGACTGAATGATATGTGTTTGTTCTCCTTCATTTCTGTAAACTGTTATAGTTTCGAGCATTTGGCTTCTCACATATCAAATAATAAAGGATCAGTACACTGGGGGAACAAACATCCAGGATTTTCTTTTAACAGGAACAAATTGTTTCCATAGCAACAACACAGGCACTGTAAATGAATCAGAAATTTTCCACCCCCTGTCCTCAGGGCTTATTGCTGTGAAGTGACAGACGACTGGCAGTTGGGCACAGTAGCTGATAGTCTGGCTCTTTTACAGCTAAAAAGATACGTGACAATAATACACATTTGAAAAATGACTTTAGATCCTGAAGTGTAGGCATATTTTAGTACTCCTCATTAGACATGGATAGTTAACTTTTTTTAACAAAAACACACAATTCAACAATGTGCAATTTGTCTCCCAGGCAGCAAATATCTGCTGTGCTGTGAGCTAAAAGCTAACGTCAGCATACTAAGATGCTCACAGTGACAATGCTAACACGTGGATGTTTAGCATCAGCATGGTAACCATGTTCACCATCTTAGTATAGTGTGTTAGCATGCTAATAATTGCTAATTAGCACTAAAAACATAGCACAGTAGCACATAGCACACTTCATAAACACAAGTATTGGACAAATTGAAATTTTGACCTTATGGTGGCGTTAGATGGAAAGTCAGAGTATAACCAGTGTCATCCTGCGGCGGAAGTAACTTGTAGATCCCAAATTTCGCACTGTTCATTCAATAGTTACCAAGATATTGAACTTAAAACGACTTCAACGTCATGGTGGTGCTAAGAGGAGGAGATTATTAAAGTTTGCAGGATTTTTTCTCTGGTCACCATGAATGTCTGTGCAAAAATTTCCCGCTACTCCATCCAATAGTTGTTGAAATATTTTAGTCCGGACCAAAGTGGTGGTCCTACAGTACCTACAGATTAACACTGCCATCCACAAAGCCTGACTAAAATGACTAAAATGTTAGGCTACACATACTGCTTTTTTTAAGGAACCTGTATTTTTATCATTTACACCACAACATATGGTTTCCAGATAAATTCCCAGTATGTTTTAATCTGTTTAGGAACAGTGGGGTGAGGCCCACAGGAAAGATTGACCATTATAAAGTCACAAACTAAATCTTTAATGCAGTCGCTCTCGTCAATGATTTGGCAAACACAGTCATAACAGCTGTAGCAAAAGCAGACTTTCTGCCCAGTGTCCTCTTGCAAAGTCTTCAAGCACTCAATAAGTGGTTAGCACTCAGTTATTCCATAATGGGCAGAGCAGACCAGCAGTGAAGTCATTGCCCTTGTATCTAATGATAGGCTTGGCTGTTTTGTAAGGTAAAATAGACCTCTAACTGTGTGGAGTAGCTGACTTCTGAATGCCTGTGAATGGATCCTGTCTTTATTCTCTACAGGAATGTGTGTGTCTCTCGAGACCGCATTGTTACAGGAGACCAATAAAGGAGGAGGAGGAAAATCCATGTCCCATGCATTTTTAAAGAGTTTGTAAAGACCATGTATATACAGTAAGGAAGTGATTTAAGGACTGCAGAGCCAAGAGGTTTAGAAAGAATGGGGAAAGTGTGTGTACACAAATATTATATAACGAGCTGTGAGGACAATTCTAAAGAAATAAAGGGTTTAAAATCATAACATCAAAAACCACTTGTTGGCTGCTTAATAGTTTAAGAGGCACTTTTGGTGAACCCAGCCATTTTTGAATAGACAAGCAGGAAATCTTTATCTTAAGTAAGCCAAAATGTATATCCTGAATATCAAATGCAGGCAGGGGGAAATACAAACACTGTTCTGGTGAAAAAAGACCATTTATCCCCATTATCCAAATCACCAAGCCATACCCATACATTCCTCTGGTTTCAAGGCAGCAGAATTTGATTGCTCAGCAACATTCAGTTGCAGTGTTGCCACACCAATAAAATGTATTTTGCGGTGTTGGACTTTGACATGCCAAAACCTGGTCTGGCTTATGAAGTCTGGCTCTCTTATCTGGGACATGCAGACATGTCTACACAGCAAACATGAGTCTGCAGAGTAAAGGCTTTGGTGTGTATCTCTCCAATCTATAACATAACACACCTCTGACCCATTTCCATCCAAAAGTGTTGATTGTGCACTGATATGCAGTGAATATGAGAATCACAAGGATCACACGTTGTATCAAAGAGATGAGTACAAAACACAACAGCTATTCATAAAGGTAAACACCCAATAACTGCATCATATTGGATTCCTTCGTTATGGCAACAGAAACATAATAAACAGTAGGTGCATGTCTATGCAGCATTAACAGCCTAAACCAATCACAATACTGGAGATCAGTATCAACAGGTGTTCTTCCCTGGTTGTATAGGCTATGTTCAGAAGGGGAGATGCATTTAAATAAAAAGCACATTTGGAGAAGTTTAAAAAAGAAAACAAGTACAACAGTATATGTAAATGTCAATGTGACCATCAAACATGAATCCTTCAGTCTTCAATCTAACCACAACACCTAAAAGTTTAACAGGCTGCAGTACTAAAATGCAACACTCACACATACACACACACACACACACACACACACACACACACACACAAACCATCAAGTCATGTAATAACAGCAATACAACCTAATGCCTTATTTATTTTCTAAAAATGCACTTGACATTAATTTATTTAGTCCTAGCTTAGCCCATAAAAGGGGCTGTCGAAAAAGTTCACTGATTTCATACTTTTCCTCATTTTGTTCATGTAGCCAAGTTTTTGTCTGCATAAAAGGCACCAGCACGTTGTTTCCATTTAGTTTCTTAGGGTAACAGCCTAGCATCATTTCTGTACAAAAAATGATACAAAATGAAGGCTAAAGTTTAACTTAATTAAGGTAACGCACTGATAAACTCAGTGCATCCACATTTTTCACACGTGAGCAGACGTTTTAACCGCCTCTTGCTTTTCTGGTACTGTGCTGCAAGGTGAGACACAGTACCGGCATCATCTTATCATCAATCTGCGTGCGGCTCGCTTACCTTGTCAGAAACCCTCTGCTGCAGTCCAACTTGTAGTCAGCCTCCCAGAGCCCAAGAAGCCGCATCAGTGAAGACCATCACGAGCCCGTTCTCTCTCTGTTATTATCCCCCCTAGCAGGCACGGTCCACTTGTTTTTGAGCAGGGAGCTACCGGAGGGAGGGACGGAGAGGTTGCGTCAGGTTCTGGTTGCTCGGAGACGTCCCAGGAATCCCTATCAGACTTCCCGCCGCATGAATATTAATGCAAGTGCGCCACAGACTGATAACTGAGTACTCTTAATAGGCTATCATTTATTTTCATTCGACAAAATACGACACATATACACTTTTTTAAACAATACATTTGGACAATAAATACAAAATGTGAAAAATTCTAAACATACATACGTATGAACTAGCCTATAAAGTTTTCATTGGTTACACATTTCATCCAATACGAAGTTACTACAATAAATTCTGCTAGAATAAATACAAAGTGTCATTTGTACAGCTTATTGGTGCAGAGTGGTAATGGCCTTGTGCCACATTAGGAGTTGTTGTAAGAAGCTGTAGAGATTTTTTTATCATGGTAAACAAGTCTATAAGAAGTCGACATAAATAAATATAGATTGGGGATTGTAGCTTCTACAGCCACAGGTGGTTGGTTTTAGTGATTGTCTGCTGCCCTCACATGAAACATGTGCAGTATAAGCACTGTTTATGGGTGCAGCCTCCCATTATCTTCAAGTCCATTGAGTCAGACAGTAACATTGTTTGTTAAAACAGAACATATGCTAGATTGATTTACTGTCACACACAACTACACTATCTTTAAATGAGCTTATATTCATTAGTTAGCCTCATCTGTAGGGCATTAACAGGGTCAATGACATTTTCCTTGTAATTTCCTTTATCAGTATCCTATCAATATGATATTGGTTGTTATAAACCTGCAGAGAATTGCAATTTTTACCAAGTTTTACAATAAAAGTTTTAAAAATACCTAGTTTTATATAATTGTAAAACATTCATCAAGCAGTATAAACATACTGTGGTTGTCTTATTACTTAGTAGGTACATTTGTATGGCATGGTCAATAACACCTTTTGTGGAATAAACTCTGTCCTACTACAGATACACAAAGAAATGTAGGACCAACCAATATCAGCAACCACAAACTAATATTACTAAATAATATGGCAAAGCTCTAATATGTGAAATGTAAAGGGATCCAAAATCTGTTTCATCGCGACTGCATTGCTTGCGTTTTGGTTTGCATTTGTTGATTAGAGAAATGATCTAGGGGCAGGGATTATGTGTGTTGTATCCTGCGCTAATTTGCCTGTCATATTCTACCAGAGAAACTGGAATGCAGTCTGGGGAACCTCTTTAAATTTAATAAGTGCCACCAGTAGAAACCACAGTCCATACAACACTTACACAGTAAGTTCAACTTGCATTAAACCAAATCAAAGGGTCCTATTTTACCAGTTTCAGCTACAATGTGACAACTATCTGTCATCCGTGCCTACATACATGCGCCTGAATTGTTCGAAGATCACAATAAATTACAAATTTTCTATATGATGAAACATTAAAGATGGTAACACAAGTTAACTGATTTATTATTTACAGATGTATACATGTCAACTGGGATTGGTTCCAGCCACCTGCAACCAAGCAAAGGATAAGCAGTTATAGATCATTTATAATCATACAGGTGGTGGTGATGGGACAGCGGATAAGACACGTGCCTATGGTGTGGGGGGACCTGGGTTGGATTCCCAATTTTGACACAATGTGTCCCTGAGCAAAACACTTAATCCCTAGTTGCTCCAGAGTTGTGTGACCTCTGACATATATAGTAATAGGAAGTTGCTTTGGAAATGAACTAAATGAACTAAATGTAAATATAGTATTTTAGATTCTTTGCAGAAACACTAATATGTTTATGTTTGCTTCTGTTGATAATGTTGATATTTTTTATTGGGAAATCAATAGTGTTCAGACAATGGTAATCACTCAGTCTCTTATATTATGGAAATGACCTCACGGTGTCTCATTTTGTGACAAACGTGGTGGCCTGCTGTGACACTGACTACCTCACATATAAATTCATTTCATAAAGTAAGTTCCTCTATGTCATCATCAAATGAGGCAATGGCACGGATGGCAGGTCTGCTTTCTGTGACGTGTAGGGTGTTCATGGAGGAAGCTGGAGGGGTGGAAGACCCTGAGTTGAAGCTGAGCAGCCCTTCTCTTCTTGAACGTACTCCATTGGTAGGTGGAGGACTGTTGAGGACCTCCATTTTATTGGATGTGCTCACACTGTCACCGGTAGGTGTTGCCAGGGGACCAAATAGCTGCTGCATGAGGCTAGACTTCCTGTCATTCCCCACTCCTCTTTCCATATGATTGTTTTTCTCTGTCTCAACCCCTCTGAGACTAAATACACCTATTGCTTCTAATGCAGAGTCCCTGTCCTCTATGGGCGGAGGAGGAGGGAAGCCTGAAGAACCTCGGGAAGCTGAATTTCCGAAAGATGGTGCGTAGCTTCCAAATGCCAAGTCATCACTGGAGTTTTGGGATCGTGGGGCTCTCCTCCCCAGTCCTGTTGTAATAGATCCGCACTCTCTGCCTGATATTCTCCTTCCACCTTCTCTGCTTGCGGCACCAGTGCGCAAACTGCCCAACTCCTCTGATTCGGTGAGGTTAAAAATTGAAGAGTTAACGTTCCTCTGTTCAGGAGGACGAGGAGAAGAGTGGTCACTGGTGCCCTTATTGGGCTCAGAAGGACTAGACTCAGGAAACATAGTGCCCTGGGCTCCATGGTTGTGACGGTCTATTTCGCGCATCTTAGCCAGCAGCTGTTCTTTTTTACGACGCGCGTCCTCTGCTGCTTGCCGACTGGCCAGAACCTCGTGGTTCCACCTCTCCACCTCTTCCTGCACATGGCCACGCTTCCTGTTGTACTCTTCCTCCTGGTTTAACAGTGAACTTGTCCTCTTTATGTCGTCTTCCTCTTTTTCTTTCTCCCAGCCTGTGAACACAACATAAAGCCATTACTGTTGCTCTCTTGTGCTTTTCACAAATTTTCTCAACAGGGTTACGTATGTATATTCTTTGCTTATCTCACCATCTTTTAGTCTCTTTGCCTTCTCCTCGAGCACATTTATCTCCCGGTTGAGTTGCTGTTTCTCCTCTTTCTCCTGCTCTTTCTCCTTCACCAACTCCTTCTGCCTTTCTTTTTCTCTGTCCGTCATCTTCTGCTGTTCACACTTTTGATGTCTGTCTTTAGTCTCTACCTGTCTGTCCACTCTGTCAAGCTCCTGTTGACATTGATTGATTGAGAGAACGAGGTATGAGAGGTGAATGACAGGACAAATAGCAGTGACAGAAGAGCAAGTGTGGACGTCGGGGAAAAGTGAAGTAGAGTCACCTCACCTTGAGTGATAGGTATTCGTCAGGTGCCTGTTCACTGTACTCATTGGCATCAGTGATGGCAGGGGGAGGTGTGGGGAAATCCGGACTAGACAGTCTGTCTTGAGTCTGCACTGCCTTGCTGCTGTTCCTGCTGGGGACTATGTCTGCAACAAAAGCAGATTGTTACATTAGTAGTATTTATTTTGCAAATCCTATTCCAAACCATCCCTTGATGCAGAGCAACAGTGTCACAACCAATATTTATTAGCATCCATGTCCAACAACTTTTCAAAACAAGCATAAACATGCAAAACTTTGGCAACCTTGGTCAACAAACAATTTTTCTGACTCTTTTGGGTTTTCCGTGACCATAGCAACAACAGTGACATGCACATGAGCGTCTGTCTATCTAAAAATAACATGGAAGCATATGAAGTTTATAAATAACACTATGGTTAGACCTTACCTTTCCGCTTTGTGCCATTGTCAGTATCTTTTCTTAGTGACGGTTTCATCATGCGGTTGGCATAGATGTTCTTGGCATCTAGTTCTCTCTCCTTCTCCTGATAAGAAAAGAGAATAACACAGTGAAAATGTCATACACTGAGCAATATGCCTGTTATGCCCAAACATAAAGAAATATACAGTTTGAATTGGTATTAGGTATATTTTTATGTATATGGACCTTGAGTTTATTGGTCAGTCGCTCCAGCTCCTCCTGCAGAGTCTTGATCTCCTCCTGGGTACTGATGGCCTTCTTCCTCTCTGTAGCCAGTTGCCTCTGGTAACTGCTGTTGCTCAGCTCCATGCTACGCTCCAGCTCCTTCAAACACAGAAAAACAAATTCACTTTTTAGCCGCCGCATGACAGATAGGAACTCAAATCTGGTGATTAGATTTGTGTCATGGATGTTAGTGGTCCATACACTAGTAGAGCTAGTGTAGAGCAGAGCTCCTCTGTTCTAGTGTACACAGTGCTATCAGAGAGCATTCTGCCTCCTTGAGCTTTTCCTGCATTGCTTGAAGTTACATGTTGGAACAGGTTGTTTTTTGTCGCTGACCTATACACAACAACCAGTAATAAAAAAAAATATACAATTTATATTTCTGAAAACCTGATATGCTTAGGCAATTTCCACTTAATGATAAAATACAGAGGGTCGCAAATGTCTGTACAGATAAGAGTGTATACAAAAGCAAACACAGAAATTAAATATTTGCAAAGCTCCACTTTATCACTAAATAGGTAAATAAATCAAATCTCACATAAACTTACCTTAATCTTTCGCTCTGCCTCTTGGGCCCGTGTCTTCTCTTCTTCTAGCCTGCGGCTTAGCTCATCTCTGGCTATTAACTCTCGCTGGTCGACCAGCTTCTTCAGCCGCGCAATGGTCGCCTGACTCCTCTGCAGCTTCTCCTCGCTGTCCTTCATCCGCCGCTCGGCCGCCCGTTCCCGCTCTTGCGACCGCCTGAGCCGCTCACGCAGCACGTGGGTCTCGTTGGTGTGGCGCGACAACAGCTGGGAAATCTCGCTTTCTGTGTCATCGTAGCGCTGCAGGGCTTTCTCCTGACGCACCTGAAGCTGCCGCGTGGAAAAGAGGAAATTAAATTTTAGGATGCCAAAGATGATGATCAAGATGATGAGGAAGTAAAACCATTTTTAAAAGATACAGGATTATATGATTATATGACTTTCCTGCAAAGATATGTGTGTTTATGTTGTCATCAGAATTCTTTTTTTTTTTTTTAAACTATAAAACACCTCCATTGGCAACTTAAATCAAATAGTTTAGTGAAGAATCTCTTTCCCTTTCCTGGCCTCATATATTTAACCCAAACTTAAGTATAGGGTAAGGTCTACCTGTCTGAGAATTCGATTTTCCTTCTGCAGCTCGTTTGTGCGCTGTTGCAGCTCAGCAAGCGCGTTACGCAATTCATTGATCTTTAACAGGCGGGCTGAAAGCATCCTCTTGGTGACCAGGTCCAGGTCTTTCGGAGGGGTGGACTCCTTGCTTTGTGAACGCACTCCCCTGCGAGGCTGCAGAGTCAGGGTTTGGCCACCTGGACGCTGCGGGCGAGACCCACCCCGGCGCCCTACACCACCTGCAAAGTCGAGAAACACACATTCTGTATAATCATAATTTAAAAGGTAATGACAATAAACACTTTCAAAAGCGAATACTGAAACACATGGACAAGTGCACTAATAGTGGTGAATGTAAACTAATGTTGAGGCTAAAGACTGACCAAAATCAAAATCATAACATAACTAGCATGTTGTTAAGGACTTTTACAATGTAATATTCAAATGGTACTTCAGTTGGAAATATTTGCTGTGAATCACATTTATGAGTCCAAGTTCTGGGTAAAAAATCTAAATCCAAGTCTTAAAAGAGGATTTCTGTCATTCTGCAGAAATCACAATGTTAAAGTTGCCCTACACTGCCATCATCTGGACAGTACAGCAAACTGAATCAGTAAGGGTTATGTTTAATTCATTCATCCACCCATACTCGATCATTTCCCTGGTTTACATACCTGTCTTATAGAAGGGGCCGTTAGAAAACCTCTTTGCCTGCATCCCTCTTTGAGGAGAAGGGGATGGAGTCCGGGACTGGGAGTATGGTGAGAGAGAGCCCCCTGAAGGAGACTCATTCTCATAGTCCTCAGAGTAAAAGGACCGACTACTTCTCCGTCCCTCTCCATCTGACATCTGGTCCCGATCTGGATCTGAATGCCAGGTTCGGGTTTTCGATCTACTCTCAACGCAGCCTTCTTTTTTATCTTTATGCAGGATCTTGTCCCGGAAATCCTTTTTGTGTTTTTGGAAGACCGATTCTCGAGAATCTTTCTCTGTACTCCGGAGTGACTGCCGACTTTGATCGGCATCCCTGTTGTCTTCATATGGGTCAGCTATGTTTTCAGATTCCATGTTGTCACTTAGAAAAGATATTCTGTTAAAATTAAACATAAAAAGTGGGGAGGAAACATATCAGACTTACAGAATTACAATTTAACAATAACAAAGGCTTACTTGTACAGGATGTACCTTACCCGATTCAACAGACTTCGCAGCCGACATTTAAAGTCCTCTGGTAAACTGACCTCAACATTTGTACTGTGCAAACCAGATGAAAATCTCAATATGCACCCAGTGATAAATCGCTAGGCCACCTGACTTCTCTCAGGTTTTCCCTATTGTATGTCTTGGTCACCAAGCAACAACACACATGAGGTGGAAGTTTCCATGAGGCCGAATGATGTAAGATATCACTATTCCACACCACTGCTACTACATACAAAATACTAGCCTGCCCACATCTGCCCTGGTGACTTATTAAAGAGCCAGATTATTAATTTTAACTGCAATAAGATGCACACATGTACCCACATGTATGTGTTCTTGCACAGTTTTGTAGAAATGTATAATTATTTTGCAAGTAACTGTATTTGTATTTGTATCTATCACAATGTAAGTATTTGAAGTTGTAAGCCCAATGGGTGGGTATTTTTAGTTTTTCCACATTGGGCAAATCCTACATTAAGCATTTCTACACAATTGCCACTCAAATTCCCTATCTGGACAACAACCCATGTGTTTGAAACATAAACAAAATGAAAAAGTCCAGCACCTCCAGATTGTATCTGTTGTTGTTAGTTAAGAGATCAAACAACCGTGAGCAGTATGAAGAATAAATATAGAATTCAAGCCAAATACTGAGGAGCCAGTACACTCTTTAATATTTGTGTTAATGACGTATAAAGGTCGTGCAGTCATCTGGCCCTTTCAACAGCCCTGATAATAATAGTATGACTTGATGGGCAAATATCTATGGCAACACCAGTACACACAGCAGCATCATCATTAGGTAGAAAACAGCATAGGCCAGGCCGGACAGAAAGGTCCTACACCTGACAACAAACCATGTTTTTCAAATCTTTTTTAACAGTCTTTCAAATGTTAAGATAGATAGATAGATAGATAGATAGACCATTCAAACTCATTTACTTAACTATTTCAGTATCATTATTGTTAAAGTGATGATTTAATAATATGAATTATCAACAATTTGACCAATAAACATCATACCAAATCCGGTCTAAAGAAAAATAGTGAGAAAAGTGTCTTAACACTCACCACATAGGTTTGATTATATCCCCATCGTATCTGTTGTCATCATCATTCACATCTAATGTTTTTATCATGCTTATGTCTGACTGACTCCTGATAAAGCAATTAGCTGAGGGAACCTATGCAGTCGGGTCACAAGCTCCCTAGTGAAAGAAAATGTGTTATCAAGGTTCCCTACCAGCTTGCCCGGCTCGCTCCCTGTGGCACGAACAGATCGGATTAAAATGGACCGTCTGTTGTTGACAGCTGCATTGTTGTGAGACTGCCTGCCAAGTAAAAGCAACACAATGTAGCTACCTGAAGCCCACCCCACAGCTCAGTGGGCCCTTTAAGTTGCTCATAATGCAGCATTATCAAATAGAGGTAGATAAGAAAAAATGTTCCAAACAGCATTTCAGCGTACTGACATTAACACACATTAGCATAAGGGGATGTAGAAAGCTAACAGCGAAGGATGACTGACGATAGCTTATGATGCTAGCACAGCAACACAAAACGATCAACAGGTGGGGTGTGTTTTAACGTTAGCGCTCAGTGTCTTATGGCACCAACCTGTCCGTTTTCCACATTTACTCCTTTAAATCTCATAGGCTTTGTCTGGTTTAACTTGGTAGCAATTAACAGCTTCCTGTTTAGAGTCGGCTAACGTTAATGTTAGCTGCATAGCTTCAGCAACTACTAGCTAGCATGAACTTCAGCTAACGTTGCTGTTAACGTTAGATATAAGAAGGCACGAGGTTAATCGTTTTTTGGAAACACACAATCACATCGTTTTAAAATGAGCCTTTCTGTAAGTATCCGCAGCAAGACGGTGTGATCCTGCCAGTCAGCGGTGTTCAGATACAATTTCTTTTCGTCCACGCCTTGAGGTTTGATCCAGTCCTAGCTGACGCCGTACCATGGCAACCGCAGAGCTCCCTGCTATGCCACCTTCAGCCAGAGTGGCGCTGTAGTGCGTGTTGTGATAGAAACAGTTATAGTCCCATGGTGTTAATAAAGGTGAATGTAGCCTACGTATGGACAGTGCTGGCCAAGTTACTTCCAAAATGTAATACATCATAGATTATTAGTTACGTCATTGATTATTTGAATCTCCCGACACCGACAGAATCGGTCAGGATGAACTGACAGCAGCCCCTCTAATCATTAAAGTAATTTGTTAAAGCACAAACACACAGCCTATAGAAATCTATTTATGCATGATCCATCAGGGGAGGTACCATCTTAAGAGGAGCTCCCCCGAAGTTTGTACCCTGCCTTCAATCTCGACCATCGGATTCCAGCAATAGGAAATAACGTTACTCTATTACTCATGGATTTGTTTTTCTGCTGCCGAAATGGTTCGCCGTGTTGGTGAATTATTAAATAAACAAAACACCACTTAATTTCGGCTTAAAATGCGTTGTAACGCGCGTTAGCCTGAGATTGTAACGGGTAGCCTATAATATTACCGAATTTTATTTAGTAATGCGTTATATTACTGCTCTACAGCAAAAAGCAATATCTATTGCTGTAATGGCGTTACTTTTGTAACGCGTTACTCCCAACACTGTGTATAGAACAAAGTGATATCAACTAGCACCACATATTTGCATAGGCATTGCTATCTGGCCATTTGATATGTAGGATAACATAGTCACTTGTGTCATTCACGGCTGCTGATACCTATGGGTTCTTACTCATGTTGAGCAACGCATATTATTAATGGTAAGCGTTGACTCCGGTTTTACATTACTCTCAGTGTACATACACAAAACAAGAATAAACAAACAGGACAGCAAGCTTAACAAAAACAGACACAATTTACACATTTTTCAATTGTGCTGAAGTTTTTAGGATATGTCCATTTGCAATGTCTTCAGCAGCGAATGTATTGCAAGGCACACGGACATCACCAACAATTTGCTTGGTGTTTGAGATATCATGAAAGGTATGTGCACATAGATATAGCATATTATCTGGTAATGGGTGGCTTCCAGTCACAAAACTTGCAATATTCACAGCTGCTGATATGGTTTCTTCTCCATGGTGCTGTGCAATGCCCATTAAAATTATGCTGATGCAAATGTGTAGAATTTAGGCCTACATAGCCAGATTCTTATTGATGTAAGTGCGGCTGAATCTGGATCCATAGCATGATCCTCACCACAAGCTACTACAAGAATCCTGAAAACTACATTTACCATATATAGGCTATTTGAACGTCAGATTTAATCCACAATATCCTCCTGGAGTAAACACTTTGTTTGTTTGTTTTATTTTGAAATGTACCGGAAGGCAAGAGTTTTGTACGATGTCTCTTTGCATCTGAGCAGTGAGGATTGTTGAGCGCCACAGTCAGCAGGGACGCACGCTGTTTTATTATCATGGCTCTGTTTAAACATTGGAGACGCGTGTCTTCGCTCAACTAAAACTCAGCCCGTATTTTAAAATCTGTACTTGTTAGTTTGGGAATAAACGAGACTCGCTGCCAACGAACATATTGTTTGCCGACTGTCTGGCATCAATTTGGGATTAAAATGGTCATCAAGGTTTACGTCGCCTCTTCAACTGGCTCTGTTGCGGTGAGTGTTTGCAAATATATTTTCAAGCTTTGTTGACAGTTGCATGTAAGTAATGCAGTGATATTACAAAGCCATGTGGAAATCTTTATGCTCACCGAATAGTGATTATTGGCATTAACGTTATGTAACTGGGCTGAGTGTTTGCTTCATTGACTTCAGACTGTTCACAATTAAGCAGTGAAAGTAATCAGCATCATACAGACAGGCAGGCAGTCCACGAACTAAGATGCATATTTTTAATTGGCAGGGTAGATTTCTCATGTGTTATGGGGGATGCATGTGTCAGCTCCACCTGTTACAGTGTTGCTATGTTTTGCCATAATGGCCTGCAGCATCATTGTGTAAAAGCTTTATAAATAACAAATTCGTATAAAACTTTTCCCTCCTGTAGGCAGAGAAAGTACATGTTAAGTGTGCAAACAAGCCATGAGTTGTCCATTTGCACTAAGATGTTCAGGGGTGGACAAAATAACAGTAACACCACTCTATATTAACTATGACCTCAAAAAGAGTAAATTAAATGAAACAGAACTCCTAAGATTCCCAAACATTAATATTTACAGAAAATGTGTGTGGCAGGGGACCCACAGATATTTAACACATATTCAGTAAGAGTAGTGTTACTCCTTAAAAGGACAGAGGTATTGTTCTAGTCTGAAGCGTTCATTACTTTGATGAAGATGGTCCTTGTCTGACTTGTTCAACTGCTATGGAGTGGTTCAACCGAACAGCAGTAATATGCAGAAGGTCTTACTCCAAACACTGGGTTATGTCAGTAGGCCTATACTTAATTAGAAGGCCATTTAGTGGGGGTCTTCTTCAACAGAACATTTCTGCTTCTCAGATGTTGCATTGGTAGCAGCCCTGTCCTGTTGTGCTTCTTGGGGAAATAACAGGCAAATGCCATTGAGAAGGCCCAGCTGATATTGGGTATAAGCAGAAAACCATCAAACAACACTCTTGCGTGAATGCTTCAAGACTTAGGTAATGGGACAAATGAGTAATATTTATATTATCATGCTCCGTCTGTAGAATACGATCTTTGAGCATTTACAAAGGAGTTATTTTTAATCCTATGACACATACATTCAAAACACAGACTTTCTCGCCCCCTCTCTCTCTCTCACTCACACACACACACACACACGCACACACACAGACACACAAAGCACACTCAGACACGCTTGAATAGGTACACCATTTGGGTCAGTTATTCGAGTGAGTGTGGAGCTCATGTGAATGTAATTCACTGTGAATGTTTTTGAATTGAATCACAAGTGACTGAATAAAGAGGAAAGGTGAGGCTAAATTCCCTCAGCTGATTTAAAATGAAATTGAAGCAGGCAAGTGGAGAAAAAAGAGAGAGAGAGACTATAGTAGTGTGAGATAGAGATGGAAGAGGAAGATTAATACTGTGAAAGATGAGTGAAGAGATGATCACAGGTGCAACACAAGCAAGAATATATGAGCAGAAAAATACTCAAAGGGAAAGTAATAATCAAAACACTACAGTGTCCCCATAAAAATGAGCAGTTCACAGCTTAACAACAGCAGATTAGTGGGGCGGAAATCATCACCACAGAATAAAATGCAAATTAGGATATCCCCCACTCATCTATATCAAATTCAGTCCCATTAGATTTTCTCGCTGTTTTTCAAATTTCCTAATTATCATTATATATTATAATTTTGCTCAGGTTGGGGGTATTTTTTTTTTTTTTTTTTCAATCACAAGTCATCTTTCCCTTTGTCTCTCTCTGTCCACGACTAAAAGATTAGTCTTAACCTCCAGATAATCCCTACATTTCAGAACAAAGCATACATACTTAGATTCTGTAATGTGAGTGTTTATATGTCTTTATTCTTATATGTACACACAGTCAAAAATCTGAATTCATCCATACCCCTTACTGACACACGCTCTCACTCACCCTCACTGCGGGGACCTCTTTCATTATTTAGCCTAGTGCTGCCTGGCTTTGAGCTAAGAGGAAGGTCGTATCATTTATACTACTCTGGAGACCAGCAGTGTGACATACAGTATAGACTCAGACCACAACCCAACGGTGATTCTGTTTGGAGTTTCAACGTTTGGCCAAAATAAAGAGGTATCTTTCACTTTACACACAGGCAGTATCGTTGCAGTTCATTTACTTTCTTGTGAGAGTCCAGATGAAGCTGTTTTATGGCCACACACAGAGAATCACTGTTAGAAAGACACGACAAATTATTCGCCTAGTCTTGTTTGGTGTGTCCAACAGACTGGCAACAACAATCCCTTACTATCTTCAAGGTAAAACAATAGCTCCATTGTAACCTTCATAATAAACACACATGAAACGCTTACATACACAAGCACACAGGGCAGATGGCATTCATTCATTCATCATTTAATTTAAATCAGTTTTTTCCTTTTTCTTCCTTTCAATCAAAGGCAGAATTCATAGAAACAATGTTTTCAGGGTACTGGATGATAAATGATAGTATTTAGCCACAGAATAAAAGCCCCTGTTTGTATGTGTCGACACTGTCTTGCCCCTCAAATAGTTTTGAATAATAAACCCTTTTATGATGTTAATGAATGCTCAACTCTATTGACCGATTTTGAGTCATCATTAGAGGTTGCATTAGATGATAAAAACAAAACAGAATGAATGAATAAACAAAGTGGATAGTGGATTTTGTTACAAGTAGAAAACATTAATGAATAAGTACAGGGTGCTTGATGGTGATACTGAATGTGAAATGATTTCATGCTCTAAACAAAATTTGAATAACTGGCTTTTAGAAATAATACAAGTTTGGTGTGAATGAAAACGATAAAGGGAGAAAGGGAACAAAACAAATTCAGTAAATGTGATTTTGTTTTTACCTTTGCGTCCTAGCTAATTGTGCAAATTAGTTTATCATTCTAATCATAATTGCGTCTGTTTCTTTAAAATGGATGAACATCAGGATAGAGAGGAGAATGTGGACTGTGTGTTTGTGTTTACGACCTTCTCTTCCATGGGAGTTTTCTGGCTTCTAAAATTATCCCTGGTATTCTTTTTTTTTTTTCTTTCACTGTACACAAACACTCATCATCCCAGAGCACATAGGACATTAATGTAGGCAGCTGTTGCATCCATCACATTGACTATAACTGGAAAAGAAAACATGAAACACTTTTCACTTTACTTTTAGAAAAGAATAATAACAACAGTAGTAAGTGATTGATTCATCAATGGATAATATTTGTTCATTTCACCCTCTAGTCCTGAAATCTAAACTGTCTTGATGTGATAAGAGGTCATAACATACTGTAAAGGAAAAGGATGTCAGCTTTCAGATTGTAAATCTAAGCTCCACAGCTTCTACTAATCAATAATCCTTGTCCCCATTACCAGGCAGTGAATACATACAGTGCCTCCACATGTGTATGTGAGTGAGACAGCAACCCTGCTCTGGTTCGATGGGTGTCAGCTTACAGTATTTCATAGGAAATGCAAAGGAAATTCCATACACACATCCAGTACATTGTGCAGCTGCATACATGAAGGCAATCTGAGCATTATAATACCTATGTGGAATATGTACATTTCTTCCCTTCTGCTCATTAGCCTGTTGATGTAGCAAAGTTATCATTTTTCTTTCTTCTTTTAATTTACATCTCTCTCTATCTCTCCCAAACTGACCCTCCTCTGCCTTTCTGTCTTTCCTTTATTCATTTTCGACCTCTCCAGGTAAAGAAGCATCAGCAGGCAGTGGTAGGTTTCCTGGAGGCCAATCGAATTAGCTTCCAGGAAGTAGACATTACCATGCTGGAGGAGCAGAGGCTCTGGATGTATCGTAACATCCCCAGAGACAAGCAGCCGGAGAAAGGCAACCCGCTGCCTCCACAGATCTTCAACGAGGATCGCTACTGTGGGGTATGATGGGTATTTGTTGAATTTGTTTCTAATGAGCAACCGTCCATTAGGTAGCTCTGTACGCTTGCAGACAGTGTTGTTAAAAGTTATTTTTGTTCGTTTTCGTGGCTCTGGAAAGTTTTGAACCTCATTCTGTATTACGGTATTTTTGTAATGTACATCAGTACAAGGTACAAACTATGCTGGTGAATGATTTTGATCAGTTAGAGCTTGCCAGTTTCACTCCACTTTGCACGCCACTCTGTAATCCTGTCGTAATCCAGTTTTCATGGATGGGGCAGATTATCTGCTCTGCCTGCCGTCACTCTCACTGGCCAAGGTAATCCAACATTACTCTGCAATGTCATGGCCATTGAATTATAATGAAAGCAGCAGTAGACAGACTGTTTAGCAGGGATGTTTACAGCCATGTTTCAAACTTGTTGAGATTATGTAACACTCAACATCCTCATTTTTTTGGTTGTCTTTCCCCTCAGGACTATGAAGACTTCTTCCAGTCAAAGGAGGACAACACTGTGTTTGCATTCCTTGGGCTCAGTTCCCAACCCTCAGTGAAAGTAAGGGAGAGTATGTAGGCTGTGTGACACATAAACACTAATGGATGAATTCACACATCAACAACAACTGGTATAAACCAGTGACAGTGACAACATCTTCAAACACTGTACCATCTCGCCACAATGCTGGATCAGCAGCTCTTGTTTCTGCCACTCATGCTTTTGATTCATAACTTATTGGTATTTCATGCACATCCGTTTTCCTTACTAGATAACAAAGAAAGTCAGTTTAAGTCCCATATATTTGTAGATCCAGCGGGCTTGTCTCCTCCATTCAATCTGTTTTTACAAATATCAAGATTTATCTGCTGTATCCTCTTAGAATTTAGATAATCATAGCTCCTACATCCAGGACTGGACTGGGGCAAAAGATTGGCCCTGGCATTTTTGGCCGAGGCGGCTAACCAGAATTTGTTGGACACCCCTCACCAATACACGATCCTTCCATTTAGAGGGTCAGATTAAGGGCGACGTGACATTGCACAAGATTGGTGTCCATGACAACAAGAAAATAATATGTTTTATAAAAATATTATATTTCTAATTGAAATATTGAATAGGGGGGTTCTCCCCCCGAAGATTTTGATCTTTAAACACTTAATTTCCTGCATTCTGGAGACATTTTCTGCACCAATTTGTTTTGTAAATGTCTTTTTACAATGTAAAAATATAATAAAATATAATGCAGTCATCGGTAGCTTATTATTATTTTTTGCTTAACAGATGGTTTCAAAAAGTTGTGGCTACATGTCCCCAGCATCCCCAGTGTAAATGACCCTCCCTCCCCTGCTCCCTTCCTACAGGTTGAGCTACGCCATTGCTTACCGCTTCACTTCCACACTCCTGCTCTCTCTCTCACTCGGCCCATCACGGTCACTTTGTCACTCTGTTTCGCTCTCACATACTTCCTCTTCTGTGTGGCAGTGGCCACCACAGTTCTTTTACTCCTTCACGTGCCTTCACTATGTCGGGTACTGCAGCTGATGATGAAGCTACTGCAGCCCCTGTATCAAACATATCGGTTATTTTCGTGCATTTGGCAGCCTCCTCCGAAGAATTTTTTTTTTTGTGGCACGTAACGCATAAACAGAGAGCAGAGGTGGTGGGGGCTGGTAAGAGATGTGATTGGGCCAGCCCAATGTCAGTATAGAAAATTACCCAATGGGCCGCTGTCCATGCTTTATGGGCCGATCGTTGGCCCATTTAAAAAAAAAAAACGTTATATAAATAAATAATTTAAGTTACACCGGCCCCAAAGGTGCTGGACTGATCCGGCAAATGCCCGGTATGCCGGATCAGTCCAGCCCTGCCTACATCGACGAATGGATAGAGTAAATCATGCTCAGAAAAAACTGAGTAGTAGAACATGGTAGTTGGAACTAAACTACATTGCTGCTTTTGAAAGGATACAAAATTACATTTGATGATTCAATTGTCAAACATCAAAGGAGCTCATTTCCACTTATCACTTAAGAGTATGTATTTGATTTCTCCCTGGTCACATTCTTTTTCTGTCTATCCTCTAGTGGTTGATTGGATAACTAAATTAAAAGAGATCTGATTACGTATAATCCATCAGGATGTTGCAGATGCATTCAGTTTGGAAAATACTTGTTTATACTTGAAAAGATGTTTAGCAGAGATGTCGGGGTATACAACATATATTGTGTGGTGTGGAGAGAAGGTTTGATGGTAATTGTTCAATCTCTATTCCCTTTTATCTAGGATTCTGAGTCATAGCCTAGATCAAACTGCTGGATGTCACACATCCTGGGAACCTTTAAAGGTTATGAGGACAAAAACCGCATCACTTGACGTGTTCCTTCTGCCACAATGCCAGCTTGTCGCCGAACACCAGACCACACGGATTTCACCCTGTATGACCTCTCCTGACTTTAAACAACATTCCACCATCACTTAAGTCTCCAAGAAATGTCTGATTCTCAAGAGGCAACAGATAATTAGTCACAGAAGAAGGGGATCAGCTTTATGATGGAGGCATAAGCACTGTCTCTAGCATAGTCTGTGCAAACTAGAAGGTTATGTAGCAGCTTTTCCATCAGTAGACCAGTTGCTTTAGGTCGATATACAATACAGTGGAAGGGGAAGAAGTGATCAGGTGCAACAGCGCATCACAAGTCACCTGAATACACACCTGTATTGTGTATGTTCATGCCTTAGTGTGTGTGTCCCTGTGTGCATACGTGTCAATCAGCAGCTGTTAATGAAGGCAATGTTTAGTGAGGGGGTCTGAGAGGCAGCACTTAATGCAACCTGAAACAACCCGAAGCCTAACCATCATGTCTGGCTGTGTGTGTGACAATGTTGGCATTATTCTATATATTTTTCTTATCATCTACAAATTCAATAGAAAGACCAAAACCAACAATGTGTTAGTTTGTGTGTTAGTATGTTCTGACTTCAACATAAATCTTCAGCTCTCAAATATATAGTTAAATTTTTTCTTTCTTAAGTAATTTCCTTAAAAAATGTTACTCACACAGGAGTAAATAGTGAATTTGTGGGGGAGTACTTTTAGCTGCTAATGAATACACATTTGGTGCTCTCAGATTGACTCAAACCTCTGTGTCCCAAATAATGAAAGAACATGTGACAGAGTGCAAAGGAGTGGCTCATTCATGTCTTTTGTAATCATTTTTGGACAACACTGGAGCCCTCTGGCACAGAGGAATAAGACATACTCATTGTTTGTTTTGGTGTTATCATGGGATCGGTTCACAACATGAAAAATATAGATAATCGCCAGCTTTATCCTCTATTCAAGACCTCCACAGACAAGGCGTGGTTGCAGTCACATGAGCTACAGGAGTACACGTCACAGATCTCACTCCGGGTCTTATGACAGAGGACAGGAGATAAGAAATTAGAGATTATTGTGCAGAGATAATCGAGTGGCAAAGATCTGCAAAGACAGATCGATACTTCGCCTCCTCTGCTCTGTCTCCCCTTCTCTCTCTATATTTCCAAATGTCTGAGTAAACAGATGCTGAAATGTGTGTTTTACGTGTTAGGAAATGAACAGTGATTGACACGTCACAGCCAGTTCTTAGTCCTGTCCTCCAGTCTGTATTCTATATTCTGTTTCCCTAAATACCAACACTAAGCATCCTGTCTCTCTCCCTTATTAAATTATTAAGGGTGGGCAGTTGACTAATTCCTTTATGTTTACACATGATGGACACATAAACAGATACACCAGCATCAGCTATTCCTCCCTAAATGTCATGCCATCATGTGAAAGGATATGTAAATTTTACTTACTTCAATCATATACTGCAGGGGACAATCAATCAAATCAGTGTATTTCTGTCACTGTTGACACCAACGACATTCCTATTTTGCGTTGTATCCTGTCAAATCATGTGATGACTGTATTGTGATTTATTTTGTGAATGGACACTAACACGCCTGTTTCGAATGCAAACAGAGTAAATGTGCTTTATGTTACATCTCTCTGCCTGTTGTGGTTAATTGTGGCATTTTTCTGTTACAGCCTCATGAGAATTAGATTTGCTGACACGTTATTATATGTGTAATTCACACAACGAAGCAGTTCTCCACTGTGTTTTTCATGTAGATGTTACATTTGCTTCAGGTAGCGATTTTTGTCTTTGCATATTTGAAATCAGTCTAAACCAAAGTTGAAGGTAAAAATTGACACCTTTGTCTTGAGAGGATCATTCTGAAGCCCCATTGTAGCAGTGGTGGAGAGGTCATTTGGTTTATTTTGATGCAGAAAACAAATTGCCAACTGAAAGTGAAATTTGGTGAACACATTTTCTGTATTTCTTAAGTGGTGTCATATATGGATATCATCAGCCAGAATGAACTCAGATGAACGTCACCACCTCTTAGATTCACCGTTGTGCAGTGGCTGTGAAAATTGGATGAGAAGAATGGTGTTAAGTACAGACTCCAGGGACAGGTGGAGTGGGGGAAAATAAAATTTGTAGGCAGCCTTACAGTAAGCAACATGAAGCTAGTCAAATCAGGAAAGGAAAACTTAAACAGAAGTCAAGAACAGGGAAAGGGATCATTGGGAGAGAGACAAGACTGGAAACATGAGGGGCAAAGTAGTGTTGAGTTGCTGATCAGCCAGAAGGTGGAGTCATTTGGTGCACAGGAGTGGGAAACTGCAGTGGCAGCTAGCGGACATTTGAGGATTGCAATGCTGGAAGGACGAGGGCTGTTGCAAATGTAAACAGACAAAACAGAGCAAGTGGAGGCAGGTGAGGGAGGAACGGCAGATGAATCTGACACAGTAATGACTGTTGTGGCAGTGACTTAAAATAATATGTATATATTTTATGAAAAACAAAATTATGACACCAGTCACTCTTAATGCTATGTCAGATGACTTCCTAAAGACTTTCTGGCAGAAAGCCTCAAAAACCAACTTCTCCCATGTTAGACTTCCTCATTTAATCGCTCACCTGTTCTCACTTCCCTTATCAGTCACTCACTACATATACCAGCCCAGATCCTTTGTTCCCTTGCCAGTTCATCCTAGTTGCTATGTTCCTGTTTTCCCTTGTGTTTTTGCTTTTGTGCATCTTTCACCCGAATCTACCCGCCTGAATCTGCTTGGAAGCCATTCTCATCAAATAAACCACATAAGTCATCCTGCTGTCTACATTCCTCTTGTGTCTCTCCCACACCCTCACAACAATTATTGAATATTAGAGACATAGAATACCTGCATCTCTCTATCCTAAATAAAATAACACTTCTACAGGTCCAGCAGACAAGACTCTTGGTTATTCCTCAAGAGTGGCTAGATTGCCTACTCCAAAAGGTGCACACACACCTCTACTGGTAGTAGAGTACTCAAATGTAACAGTTCACCTCTTCTTTTTTCCTGTGTTTTAATCAACTGGAGAGATTTAATTAAAGAGTCCCTCTGTTTTAAAGTTGCCTCTCAACTTGTGAAGATTCTCCTGTTTTGATCATCCTGTTTGTCAGGCCACTCACAGTGCCCCCTTGTTCCAGATGAGCTGTAATGTCATTTCCAATCAGCCAATGATGCATATCTCTGCCTGTAATGATTTACCCAGACATCAATATGTGCTTAACCTGCTGTCCAAACCTCACTATACTCAGTTCTGTCATTATGGAATACTGAGGTATGTTACTCTTGTACTAGTTATTGCTATTCTATAGTCTAGAACAATGGTTTGCCACCATTGTCACTTCAACACCAATTCATATTGGAGCACCAAATGCTTAGAAAAGACACATTGCATCCTCACACTCTTGCATATTTAGAGAAAACATACTCACTGGTGCATGTGATAATGACATATTTTAGTTCTATAGAAAATTCTTGCACATAGATATTTATAAGTACAGGTGCTGGTCATATAATTAGAATATCATCAAAAAGTTGATTTTTTTCAGTAATTCCATTCAAAAAGTGAAACTTGGATATTATATTCATTCATTACACACAGACTGATATATTTCAAATGTTTATTTCATTTAATTGTGTTGATTAAAACTGACAACTAATGAAAATCCCAAATTCAGTATCTACGAAAGTATGAACATGAAAAGTATGAGCATGTACAGCACTCAATACTTAGTTGGGGCCCCTTTTGCCTGAATTACTGCAGCAATGCGGCGTAGCATGGAGTCGATCAGTCTGTGGCACTGCTCAGGTGTTATGAGAGCCCAGGTTGCTCTGATAGTGGCCTTCAGCTCTTCTGCATTGTTGGGTCTGGCGTATCGCATCTTCCTCTTCACAATACCCCATAGATTTTCTATAGGGTTAAGGTCAGGCGAGTTTACTGGACCATGGTCCTTAAACCAGGTACTGGTAGCTTTGGCACTGTGTGCAGGTGCCAAGTCCTGTTGGAAAATGAAATCTGCATCTCCATAAAGTTGGTCAGCAGCAGGAAGCATGAAGTGCTCTAAAACTTCCTGGTAGACGGCTGCGTTGACCTTGGACCTCAGAAAACATAGTGGACCAACACCAGCAGATGACATGGCACCCCAAACCATCACTGACTGTGGAAACTTTACACTGGACTTCAAGCAACGTGGATTCTGTGCCTCTCCTCTCTTCCTCCAGACTCTGGGACCTTGATTTCCAAAGGGAATGCAAAATTTACTTTCATCAGAGAACATAACTTTGGACCACTGAGCAGCAGTCCAGTCCTTTTTGTCTTTAGCCCAGGTAAGACGCTTCTGACGCTGAGTCTTGTTCAAGAGTGGCTTGATACAAGGAATGCGACAGCTGAAACCCATGTCTTGCATACGTCTGTGCGTGGTGATTCTTGAAGCTCAAGCTGCAGTCCACTCTTTTTGAATCTCCCCCACATTTTTGAATGGGTTTTCTTTCACAGTCCTCTCCAGGGTGCGGTTATCCCTATTGCTACACTTTTTTCTACCACATCTTTTCCTTCCCTTTTTTCTCTTTATTAATGTGCTTGGACACAGCGTTCTGTGAACAGCCAGCCTCTTTAGCAATGACGTTTTGTGTCTTGCCCTCCTTGTGCAAGGTGTCAATGGTCATCTTCTGGACAGCTGTCAAGTCAGCAGTCTTCCCCATGATTGTGTAGCCTACAGAACTTAACTTAACAGAGTTAATTAGCTGATTAGAGTGTGGCACCAGGTGTCTTCAATATTGAACCTTTTCACAATATTCTAATTTTCTGAGATACTGATTTTGGGGTTTTCATTAGTTGTCAGTTATAATCATCAAAATTAAAAGGAATGAACACTTGAAATATATCAGTCTGGGTGGAATGAATGTATACATTATACAAGTTTCACTTTTTGAATGGAATTACTGAAATAGCCCATTCTTCCAACACCAGTGGTCTCACACCGCCGCAACCTCCGCAACCTGTCTCCCGCTCACTTTGCCTCAGTGGAAGTTTCCGCTCTACCCTCTCTCAACACATTTTCCTCACTTGAGGTCAGTGATGCCACACAATCTCTGTGCTCTACACTAAGCTTGTGCCTGGATAGCCTGTGTCCTCTATCCACCAAGCCTGCTCGCCCAAACCAGTCCCACCCGTGGTTAACTGATACCATCCGTGGGCTCCGTACTGATCTCAGAGCGGCTGAAAGAAAATTGCGAAAAACCAAAGACCCCACCGACCTTAAGGGCTACCAATTGCTCCTATCCTCCTTCTCAACAAGCATCAGTGCTGCCAAAACTGCGTTCTATAATGACAGAATAAGCAGTGCCACTGACTCAAGGAAATTATTTTCCACTTTTAAAGTGCTACTAAATCCTCCTCCACCTCCACCACCCACAAACTTGCTGATACCTTTGCTGCCTTCTTCACAGGCAAATTGGAGGCTATAACTAGACAATTCTCTGAAACACTCAAACTCAACCATTGTAGCAGTCCTACTACATCTTGTCCTCTGCCCTCCCAGGTCAGTGGTTGTTCACTCTCCTCGTTTATTCCTCTCACAGAGAGTGAAGTATCAGAACTCTTGACCCGTAGCCGTCCAACTACATGCCCACTGGACCCGATTCCTACGAATCTCCTCCAAGCCATATCTCCTACTGTGGTCCCGACAATCACTCACGTGATAAATACTTCTCTGGCTTCAGGAACCTTCCCGACCAATTTCAAAAGGGCCCGGGTTACACCCTTGCTCAAAAAGCTCTCACTTGACCCAACTCAAGTTGAGAACTATCGACCAGTGTCTCTTCTACCTTTTTTACCCAAAACTATTGAACGGGCAGTATTCAAACAGGTCTCAGAATTCCTCTTAGGGAATGACCTCTTAGATCCATATCAGTCTGGTTTTAAGAGTGCCCACTCTACTGAAACGGCCCTTCTGTCTGTAACAAAAGCCCTAAGGTCAGCTAAAGCTGCAGCCCAATCCTCGGTTCTTATCCTGCTTGACCTATCAGCTGCCTTTGACACAGTCAACCACAGGATCCTGCTCTCCGCTCTCTCAGCAATGGGCATCTCGAGTAAAGCACTCCTGTGGTTCGAATCCTACCTCTCTGGGCGTTCCTACAATGTTTTGTGGCAAGGACAATTATCCTCCTCCCACTGCCTCTCCGCCAGGCGATCCAACTGTCTCGGCGCGGATCACGGACTGTCTATCGGACATATCTGCATGGATGAAGGTTTTCCACCTTCAACTAAACCTCTCTAAGACTGAACTCTTGGTCATTCTAGCCAAGCAATCTATCCACCATAACATCAAACTGCAAATTGGCTCCGCAACCATCACTCCAACCAAGGTGGTGAGAAACTTGGGTGTCATGATTGATGACCAGCTGTCCTTTTCAGAGCATGTTGCTGCTGTCTCTCGGTCATGCTGCTTTGCTCTTTACAACATAAGGAAAATCAGGCCCTACCTCACTCAGCACGCCACCCAGCTTCTGGTACAGGCCATGATTTTCTCTTGCCTTGACTATTGCATTGCCCTCCTAGCAGGTCTTCCAGCTTGTGCGGTGAAACCCTTACAAATGGTTCAGGGTCTGGTTTTTGCTTGCATACAGAGTGACTACTGGGTCTGCACCCATCTACCTAAACCCCATAATACAAACGTACGTTCCTTCTTGGCCGCTACGCTCCTCCAACAAACGTCGCCTGGCTCTGCCATCCCTTCACACAAAGCAATCCCACTCCTGGCTATTCTCATATGTGACACCACGATGGTGGAACGAGCTACCACACGCCATCAGAGCAGGGGCGTCCCTCTCTAACTTCAAGAAGCTCTTGAAAACTCATCTCTTCCGAGAACACTTCCTTTTATAACACCTCTAACTCCTAACCTCTAACATACTCTTCCTGTGCTCTTCTTCTTCTATCCCCTACAATTATCTTGTATTGATTGCTGAATATATTGAAGCTGCATTGGCCAAGCAAGAGCCATCGTTAATGTTATTAGTAACTGTGCTGACAAGTAAAAATGTCTCCTGTGTAAAAGGTCTATTTAGCTTATAACTCAACTCAAAATACTTTATAAATATTAAAGGAAAATACTGCCCGTGTACTCTGTAAAGCACTCTGGGTTGCCTTTGGGTATCAAATGTGCTATATAAGTACATTTGCCTTGCCTTGCCTAGGGCTTAATTGTGCTTAGCACATAGAGTTTGAGGAATCCAGTGGTGATTTATCAATTGTATTTTAGTAAAATATGTACAAGCAAGTATGAATCATGGAGCATGTAGGAAAACAAGGACGAAATGAGTTTTGTGAGAATGTTCATGAAATGACAAAACTACAGCATGAAGGGGAAGTTGGGGAGATAATAATTTTGTGAAATGGCAACATGTGCAGCTGTAACCGGAGGTAACTTAAGGAAATTCATTATTTGTGCAAACAGATGGCCAAACTCAAAACGCTGAATAGACAAGTCAGTTAGGCAACGTCACGTACAGCCTCAATGTTATGTATAGTCATGTTCTTATTGACAAAAAAACAAAAGAACAACTTGTCAGGAAAATGAACTTAGGTGAAAACCACTCCAATAAAATGTATTTTATGTCTATTTTATGTATGACCATGTATATGTATTATGTATTGTGTAGTTTAGTTAACAGGGACAGTGCTGATTGATCAGTAGTCCCAAAAGTTATTGCTGTTTTCACAGCAATTGAACACATTCCTTGATATTACTCATTTTGCATCCTGGTTCACGT